AAAATTCAATCCGAGAATGTGTTCATGATATTTTTAACAATTATGATAGGGGAATCTTTGACCTGAATAGTCGTATTCAATGCGAAACCAACGGGGCGAATTCTGTCTTACTTCCGGTAACGACATAAGCCCAAACAGAAGTATATGATATAGAAGCCTAATTAATGAACGATTAATGCACTAGAACAACTGTTCAGTTTTCTTCTTAATAAGTCTGGGTTAATATAACATCCTGAAGTTGAAAACAGCGCCCTGAAATGCATGTGATTTACAAAATACCGCAAAAATGAGGAGACCATACCAACTTACGACTCGAACCACTCCTATGAAGGAGGCGGTTCATCATAATTTCTTTATTGTTAATGCTAATGGTCTAAATCTCTGGCTTTATTAAAATATGTTACTGATTCCATGAAGGGATGTGTTCAGTCATCCTTCCGTCATTGACCGTGGCTCATCACTTATGGTGGAGCCTGCAAAGAAATCTTCAACTGCAAGATTCTATCCACCACCAGAACCCCCCCTACATTGATTGTTTGTAAGTGTACACCGATCACCCACGTTAAACTGTCTCCGCACACAATGATTTATTCCAATAAATCCATCCATCCATACCGTTGTATATGTAACCTTCTCTAAGTTGATGTTCAAAATTAGACGTTATTTTTTACTCGGCCACTTGGAATAATATTGCACTTGATATAATTATCATAATATATCCTTTACACCTGCCTTCTTCTCCTTGGCATTTGGTAAAGCCAATGAAATGACATTGATCACACTCAAGAAATCAGAAATAAATTCATTACCAACAAGATTATAATCGCGCCACTGTCGTTGAATAGAGAACGTCATCAACACCAAACCTCTTCCAATAGCTACTCTTGCATCTGAGCAGACACATTTGATAGGGATTCTCTGATCAAGTTAAACAGAACATTCCTGAAGGTCTTCCTGTAACAATCAGATGATTTTCTCTTTCGAATTTGATCTCTGCCGGGGGATATATCATCGACTGATGACTCTTGTTGCTGGCAACTCAAAGGCCATTGTAAAACTCGAAAATGCATGAAACAGTTTTAACAAGTGCAATTATTTTCTGACTCTGACATGTTTTAGGGCTATTAAAGCTAATTCGTGTCATCATCCATTTTACTTGACATCACTGAACGACATAATCATCGTAATATATTTTTGGCGCGTTTTCTGACTATGTTGGAATCTTTGGTCACAAATCTCCGTGCTGGTGAAGCAGCACTCATCCGATCCAACAGTTATTATAAACCTTCTTTGTTACATCCGAGGTATACTGCAAAAGTAGCGGGGAACGTCAGTCATGCCTCTCCATAAAAGAAAAGTGTAAATGAACGTTCCAATTACAGACCGGTCGCACTTACGAGCTGTTTGTCTACAGTTTTAGAAAAATGTGTTTTTAAACATGTATTTAATTACTTTAGAGACAATGATATTTTAACAAATTTACAATCGGGTTTTATGCCAGGCAACTCTAGAGAGAACCGCTAATCAACTAACTTATTTGTATGATTTTATAGCGAAAGGACTTGATGAAGGTAAAGAGGTCAGAGCTGTTTTTGGTGACATTAGTAAGGCATTTGATAAGGTATGGCACAAGGGCATCATTTCTAAACTATGGCATTGGTGGATCACTTTTGAATTGGTTTGAAAGTTTGTTACAAAACAGATCACATAAAGTCGTCATTAATGGATACTGTTCCGATTATTAACCTGTCCTTGCTGGCGTCCCACAAGGTTCTGTATTGGGACCCTTACTTTCTATTGTATACATAAATGATATAGTAGATGGTATAAAAAGCCACATACGTTTATTTGCTGATGACACATCACTTTACGTAATTGTAGATGATCACGATATTGCCGCACATCCTGTCTGAACGGTGATTTAAACCGTATATCTAGCTGGGCAGACAAGTGGCAAGTTAACTTCAACCCTGATAAAACCGAAACAATCAATTTCTCTCGTAAACATAAAAATGATACGATTCCGATCTTGAACATGAACCAAACCCCGATACGAGAAGTGGAAAGTCATAAACACTTGTGTGATTGTGCATAGAAAAGTCCAAAGTTAGCCCCATGATAAACTGTCTCCTAAGTTTTAAATATCGCCTCTCCAGGAAAACGCTAGAAAGCATGTACACATCGTTTGTGATGCTGATATTTGACTATTGTTGTCATATCTGCGATAATTGCACGAATGATCAATCCCTTATGCTTGAACGGTTACATTTAGATGCACTTCGTACAACATGTGGCGCAGCTCGTGGCACTAGTCATCATAGGTTATATATCGAAACAAAGTCTAAACCATTAAAAGAAAGAAGGCGCGACATTAAACTAATACATTTTTACAAGATGAATAACGATCTCGCACCTGACTACCTCTGTGACCTTGTCCCTAAATTTGTCTCTGAAAACAGTCAATATAATCTCCGTAATAAATTTAAAATACAAACAATAGAACATAATAGAGTCCCTGCATCATTGTTATCAACCTCTTCTATTGTAAAAGCAACTCAATTTCGCCTCATGCTTCATCTACTGTCCAAACATCTCATGTATATATATCACCCAAAATTACTTCTCATGCATCACTTGCTTGACAACAACATTAGAAGCTATGTCGTCTATACAGAATAAAGAAGTTGTATATCCATAAAAATAGTCCTCATCCTTAATAAATTGTAGGACTAAAATATATGAAAAGTCGTTCCTACCTGACACAATTAAAATTTGGAATTCATTGCCTGATATTTAGCATTCGCTAACTCAATCGGTGAATTCAAATCTCTGCTTAAAAATGATGAATCAAATAATTATCTAGATCTAAATCATGGCAGTCGATTCTGTCAGATCGTACACTTTCGACTTATGCTCGGCTATAGTGATTTGAATGTGGATAAAGTAAATAGACACATTTCTAACAATCCTGGATGCGCTTGTGGATACCACAATGAAGATAGTGTCCATTATCTTTTTTATATGGAAGTTATACACTGCTATTAGAAATAATACCTACTTCTATGTAAATGGCCACAATCTCCAAACGGTGTTATACGGAATACCTCCGGCTAACAACGATGTCAATAAAAACATAATGGAGTCCCTGCATCAATACATCCTCAATTCTAAACGATTTGATAAATTATTCTAAACAATTATATGCAAACAATTAATGAAGTGTAGCTGCACGCTCAATGTTTACAAGCACCTACAACGCACATATATGATAATTTAATTCGTCATTTTGAGTATCCAGTTCTTGTGTATTTTGTTTAAATGATATATGTACTGGTGAGGTATTGATATAAGCAAAGTTCTGCTTGTTTACCAAACCAGATTCTTTAGGAATAAAAATATGTTTACACAAAGCGGGGAACTTAGCAAGGTATAAAAATGACATGCAGTTAAACCATCTGTTGGTTACACCAGCTTGGGTTGCGACGATGTCTTGTTGGGCTTTCTCTTTCAAGACGTACACATAAATACCTATGGGAAGGTAAGGTTCCTCCATTTTGTATCACTTGTGATAAGATAATCATGCATGCATTCAGTCATCTTGAATGGCAATCGTTAACTTGTTTTCTGAACACAGCAGCTATGGCTAGGCTAACGAGAGATCAAAGACAACAAGCCATTGGACGTCTAGAGTCATTGCAAACGTCTTAAACAGCGATACAACACCACCAACAGCATTGATGACCGTCCACGTAGTGGTCAACCCCGTGTAACAACACGTCGCCAGGACCGTCATATCGTCCATCAACACCTGCAAGACAGATTCGCAAGGGCCACAGAAACAGCTCGGGGGACCTTAGGAAACCACCAACGACCAGTCAGTGACCGAAACATTCGGCGACGTCTCCAAGCCAGGAACCTGTTTCAAATAAACCACTTTTTAACACAATCTCCAGCGACGTTTCTTTTGCCCTTTTTAGTATATATTCAAATTTTGATGTATGAAGTGTTATTTGGCAGTGCTTCACATTAATTAATTAATAGAAGAAGCAACGTGAGATAATTGTTCCTCGAAGATGGTATGCTACTTCAACTTCATTCAGCGTTTTTTCATGCCTGCCAGGCTTTGTAAACGTAGCGTCCTGTAAGTCCCAAGTAGGATGGCCTTACTTGGTGTAGTGTTAGTGTATTCACCAGGATGTTTAAACACTTTTAGACTTTGAGAGCCTGTAAGGATCTCGGCCTCAGGCCTAATACTCCTGGGATATTAAAAGAAGCACGTAGCTATTTGTAAATGTATGCTCTAATAAAGGTCAATTCAAGCTTTTCGATAATGGCCATTCTTGTTTGCAAATATCAGGTTCCATGTATTGCCCAACTTCCTTGATGGCACAAGGGGAACACTGTCAAGAGAGGAAGTAATCATTAACGATCAATAGCCTGGATCAGATGGATAGTTTCTTGATGAACTGTAAAAATGAAATATGTATGTTTTTGACGAACAGATCGTTAAACGAACGCCTAATGTGAACATAAAAGCTATGTTCTGAGTATTGATTATTTTTAACGTCTATTTACCAAATAACCACAGTTTCAGACACTCATATCGACACATCCCAGAGAATTCAACATTTGAAACATTTCACATTTCAAAGTAGTTTTGCAATGTCATAAATGTAAGTGTCAAAAAGGTCTGCGTTTTTATTTAATATGTATACGTATATTGTAAATGTTAACAAATCCTCTTCTTGATTTTGTTTGACCAACGGTGGGTATAAAATTTAAGACTTTCTGATTGTTCAGTTGCCATAGCGACAATGACTCTGAGGAAACCGCTCCATAGATTATTGTTGGCTTTAACCTATTGCACATTGAATAAAATATCTGAAAACTAAATCAATGATTTCTCGATAATGTAGCATATCTAAATAGTAAACAGTCCCGGCGTTATTGATTCCACTAGGGCATTTATGCGCACACAGACTTCTGGTAGTTGCCTCTGCCTCATTTAGTCGTGAGGACTACAAGGTGCTTGTTGGTCCACAATGCTAGTGTGGTTCCTTGTGGTTTGTGTTCTCAACTGTGGAACGACAGTCCATGGAGGTAAAGCATGGATTTATTTGCCTCTAAATACCTGTTAACCAAACATTGGTGAAAACAATGTTTGGAGAATTTGTGTTTTCCGCATTGAAACGTATGAACAATATTTATGTTTTTCGTTTGATAATATTTTGTTTTTATTTTCACGTAATTAAAACAGATACTATTTTGAAGTTATATCTTATTGCAAAACCACTTGTTTTCTCTTTCCAGCTCCGGATGACTACGTTTATGTCTATGGATTTGCTACCTGGCAGCAAGCGAGTGATTCATGCGCTCATTTTGGGATGAACTTGCTCTCCATTGCAAACGAAACAATATTTTCAGAGGCCAAAACATACCTTGCTGGAACTCATGGGCCGGGGTAAGTATTTACTAGACTGAAAAGTTGTTGTTATTGGCTTTAACTATCATTATTAACATTTTTTTAGATGTTTGTCAAGTGACGTAAATAGTGTAATGAAGCACTACGTATAGAAACTTAGTGCAACTTCGAATGTCAAATTATGGTTTCAGTTTTTATCTGGACTAAATTCAGTTTGGATGAGAAATAGTTTTCTGATTTGTCACTTACTCATCTATGTCACACAACTAAATTACTTCTGTCACTCGCTCACCCATGTCACAGAATATGAGTTATATCTGCCACTCACTCACCCATGTCACACAATATGAGTTATATCTGCCACTCACTCACCCATGTCACAGAATATGAGTTATATCTGCCACTCACTCACCCATGTCACACAATATGAGTTATATCTGCCACTCACTCATCTATGTCACACAATATGAGTTATATCTGCCACTCACTCACCCATGTCACACAATATGAGTTATATCTGCCACTCACTCATCTATGTCATACAACAGGAAGTACATCTGGCACTCATTCAAACATGTCACACAATATGAGTTATATTTGCCACTCACTTCTACATGTCACAGGGACGGTGGGGTAGCCTTTTGGTAAATCGTTCGCTCGTCACACCTAAGATCCGGGTTCGATTCCCCACATGGGTCAATGTGTGAAGCGTATTTCTGGTGTCTCCCGCTGTGATACTGCTGGATAATTGTTAAAAGAAGCGTAAACCTTAACTCACTCACTCACCCATGTCACGTGATATGATTTACGTATGCCAATCCCTCACCCAAGTAATCTTATCTGTTTAATGACAAATATATTTTACGTCCATTCCTACTGAGATCGCCATAACGTTATACTTTCAGAGGTGTAGCCAGAGGCCTGTGGATAGGTCTTCGCTTTGTGGGGAGCGGCACACCAGATTTGAGTAAGTTCGAATGGGAGGATGGCTCTTCTCCAGCCTGGTCAAGCTGGGCAGACGGCTCCCCGCCCAGCACTATAGACCCAAGAATGTCGTGTGGGGCTATACTAACCACTACATCGGCCAAGGACTACAAGTGGGATCTGGACAGCTGCAGCAAGAGGAGAGCGTTTATTTGCCAAGGTTATTATATTTTACATGTTTTAAGACAAAAACATTTCCACATGAAGCCGTATTGTTTTCTTACAAAAATGCTCCGCCTTGTTTCCTATCATGATTTCAAGGCCCTATTAGTGATCCCTACCAATATATTCCGGGAATATTGGCAAAACTGCTCAAGGAAAAAATCACTCATTACTCAGAACCTATATGTTCAAGAATGTATTTGAGCAGTTAGACTTAATCTTCAGCAACTCATGCTTGTCATAAAATGCGACTAAGGGGATTGGATGGTCAGACTCGCTGACCTGGTTAATGCTTGTTATCGTATCTCAGTTGTGCAGATCGATGCTTTGTGATGTCCATCACTAAAATGTTGAAACCTGGTTATTGACAGACCGCCGTCACACTGCTGGAATATTGCTGGGTGGGGCGTTAAACAAGAAACAATCAATCTGAATCTATTTTCATTTCATCAATGATTGACGTATTTGTGGAAAAGGGAAAATGTATGTGTTGTATTGTATCTGACCTAAATATGTGATATTACCATATACAAAAGCACGTAAAATGATTGGTCAGATATTTGTATTTGACAGTAAGAATATGAGACAGGAAAACTTGTATAACGAAATATAGAAGTTCACGTTCAAAGTCTATCCGTAAAGGCGTGACACTTTAATGGATGGCAACGTCTATACTATTCAAATACATTTCTATATCGACCTTTTACCGTTTGTAAACAAGAGCTTGATCTTGTTCTTGTTATATACCGTTGTCAAGCAAGAGCCTGTTCTTGTTATACCGTTGTCAAACAAGAGCCTGTTCTTGATATACCGTTGTCCAGCAAGAACCGATTCGAATCGTTAGTACAGACATCATTCCCCACTTAATGACATGTCTAACATCCACGACATTTGACTTTTTGATTGGCCAACATTCCAGGCAAATCAGGACTCTATGATGATTACGTCCAAAGCTCTATCGTAACGAAAAATTCTCAGTTTAGTCTGAGACACTGTATCAGAAGTGTGTGGTAAGACAGGAGTGTTAATATGTCTTTTGTGAAACGAAATCTGGCATCAGAGATTTCTGGTTGGTAACAATTTCTATTCTGAAGCATAATTATGTTATTTAAGCTATTGTGGGGAAATTGTTTTCGACAAAAACTTCCAATTAATTGGGATTCACCGATAGCTTACACATATTCGAGTGAATAAGTTTTAAAGTCCCCTTTGCAAAGTACCTATATTAGTTATTAAACCAAAGACTTCCACATAGCGATTGAATATTTCACAACTTCGCTTCCCAGTCGCCCCATTACACTCCGGTAATGTCCATAGTAGCTATGGAAAGCAATGAATGATTAAAAGAGAAATTTTGTACCACCATGCATAGTAAACGTTCTTTTCTCAAGGTCGCCGACAACAACGTATGCATTATTAACGTCATCGACGTTAACGGACAATACACATTATTCAGTGTTGTGTATTGTGTACTTACAAAGAGAGGGGAAAGTGTTTCATTCACATTTTCACTGAATGCACCTGAAATAGAAAACAAAAACATCACCATGGAATGTACAGCAAACGGACACCTAATGATTCATTACAGCCAAACAATTTTCGATTAATCTTAAGTAGACTTCGACCAGCATAATGATTGAAGCGATTGATTTATCCGCACCCAGTGACGTGCTGATTCCCAAGTTGTACCGCGAAGGTTGACCCAAACATTGGCCCATAGGAACTAAATTGTAAAATCAGTAAACACCCACACACACCTAAGCAGGCATTTGCCAACTTCCAAGTTACGGACGCTGCATTAGTTGCACAGTACACAAGAGCTGCCCCAGACAATGGTAATGGTAATTAAAACTTGTTAACTATTACGCTGAAAATTCTTCAAAATAGGTAGTTTCTTTTATAGTGCTTGTTGTTTAATGCCGCACTTAACAAAAATCCGTCTGGACCAGACAATCCTGTGATCAACAGCATTAGCATCGATCTACGCAACTGGGACACGATGACATGTGGTCAACCAACTCAGAGAATCTGACCACCCAATCCCGTTAGTCGCCTCTTACGACAAGCATGGGTTGCTAAAGACCAATTCTAACCTGGATATTGACGGGTGGGATAGCGTTATATAACCTCTTTTGACCATTAAACCCATCCTTGCGATAGCCTTTATATAGCCTCTTTTGAGCATTAAACCCATCCTTGCGATAGCGCTTATATAGCCTCTTTTGAGCATTAAACCCATCCTTGCGATAGCGCTTATATAGCCTCGTTTGACCATTAAACCCCATCCTTGCGATATCGTTTATATAACCTCTTTTGGTCAATAATCCCATCCTTGCGATAGCGTTTATATAGCCTCTTTTGACCATTAAACCCATCCTTGCGATAACGTTTATATAACCTCTTTTGGTCATTAAACCCATACTTGCGATGGCGGTAATATAACCTCTTTTGGTCATTAAACCAATCCTTGCGATAGCGTTTATGTAACCTCTTTTGGTCATTAATCCTATCCTTGCGATAGCGTTTATATAACCTCTTTTGAGCATTAAACCCATCCTTGCGACAGCGCTTATATAGCCTCTTTTGACCATTAAACCCAACCTTGCGATAGTGCTTATATAACCTCTTTTGGTCATTAAACCCATCCTTGCGATAGCGTTTATATAGCCTTTTTGACCATTAAACCCAACCTTGCGATAGCCTCTTTTGGTCATTAAACCAATCCTTGCGATAGCGTTTATATAACCTCATTAAATCCTTGCGATAGCGTTTATATAACCTCTTTTGATCATTAAACCCATCCTTTCGATAGCGTTTATATAACCTCTTTTGATCATTAAACCCATCCTTGCATCCACTACAGACCAGCAACCCTTCTCTCACACAGTAATCTGTTGCACTGCGAGATACCTGGAACACTGGCTTTAAACCCAACACATAATTCAATTTCACCATCTCAAAAGGAGGGTTACAGTTGACCCCGCTGTTAAACAAGAAAATACACGTAACAAATGTTACAGCTTGGTTTACACTTTTCAGTAAAGTACAGATTTTAGTACTTTTGTTCGGTAGGGTCAAATCCGGGATTCGAACCAAGACCCTCAGAGTCAGGCACATAATCGCCAAAACACAGAGTCAGACGCCTTACCCGCTCAGCCATCTCGGTTTCCACTTAAGTATGACGGTGTGGGTTCGATCCCGGACGGGACTCAAACCAACAAAAGTACTAGAATCTGTACTTTACTAAGAAGGTGTAACCCCAAATATAGCATTAAATGAAACCCCGAGAACAAGAAGGGCTGGTTTCTACGGTAGTCTAAGTTAACGCTCATCACGTACCGCACGTGCATTTGTTTCACTGTTCCAACTACTGCGCGTACCCCCTTGTAATACAAACCAAGAATATCGCTTTGAAACTATGATCGTTTGTTAAACAACTTTTATCCTAAGGTGAATATAATTCTGAGATTTTAATGTACAATTGGCAAGGTAAGAGTATGAGGATTCGCAATCTTAATTTCACTATATTTGATTTACTTTTTTGTTTAAAGTGAACTTCATCGGTACATTTTCACTTCAAACAGACTACAGTTTCAAAGGTCGCGAAAGGTCGTGACCTGTAATTGGATGTTTTTGTGGAATAAACTTGAAATATCGAAAATTTACCGGAAATTATAAATACATAATCGAATAAACGAGAAAAAACTAGATATTTCGGATGAATATGATCACATCATTGAAATAACTAGAGAGTATGGTTATTATGAATGCCACCAAAGCGGCATTAGACTCTCGTACTTTGATTTACGTAAATGGCTCAAATCAATTTTGTAATGAATGCTTAAAACATTCGTTTTCTGCTGTCTCCCTCCGTGATATTGCTAGAATTGGAACGTATGGCGGTACAGTGCACAGAGCACTTGACAGAAAATCACAGAAGCATGGAAACGCCCTCAAAGTCATATTGTACGACTCTTGACATCTGAGCAACATTTAATATATAAAAAATTGAATCCCCGAGTTCTAAAACGACGATGCCAGTGTCGTAAGTTTGCTGGTATACAAAAATAATAATTCTTTGTAGTCCAGGTTGGCGACAAAATGGATGAAAGTGTCCTTGACATTACACTTCCTTCTATGTACATGCACCAATGACACATGATATGAAACATTTAGATGCAGGAAAAGTCCAAGAATGCACGTGTCCATATATTTACCGTCTGAGGTACTCAGCAGTTGAGAACAATGGGAAGTTAAACACTCAAAGAAAACTAACTTGAAATCTACAAACTAAAAAGAGCACATAAACATTCACAACATCGATATCTCTCCATTACAAATATTTATTCAAATATGTAGCAATAGTGTTCTTTCCAAAATGGCACAGTTACCATGGAAACACTCCCAAAAGACATCCTGACTAACACTTTGTCTGGCAACATTGGTTGGAAAGAACTAGAGATTGAAAGCTTTCAAACAATACCAAATGCATCTTTCAACTTTCTTGTTTTGACACCAGAAACCACTGCTCTACGACGATTGTTCTGTCCAAATAATGCAAATATTCAGAATAGAACTTCACGGAAAATAACATTTTTGCAAGCAAGTGATTACAGTTTGCATTCACAGGATTGGGACTATTCCGGACAGAGTTTACAATATAGTCTTTGCACGGCATTTAGAAGTGATACACATATAGGCGAGAATTTTGTGAATGTCAACTTCTTTATTTTGAGGAATCATGACGTTTCGGAGTATATTCTGACTCCTTCATCAGGTGAATCTTATGCATGAAAGGTCGTGTTTCCACAAAATACAGAAGTTGACATCCACAAATTCCCTGCCTTTTGATTTTACAATGCTGAGTAAATTCCTTCCGACCTCCTGTCAAGTTTCTTCTGACGTACAGTGTTGACAGTGCACTCAGTAACTGGCAAAGGTGAAGCTTTTTGTGGATATTAATGGTGACTAAACTATAAAAAGTCACAGCTATAACAAAAATCCAATAGTAGATAACAAACCAATAGCTTGGGTAAATATAATCGATTAAAGGGTTTTCTTTTTCGTGTAGTGCACAATGGGAAAATAATGATCAACTAAATAATGTTATATCGATCTAGTTTTGATGACAAACCCAATGGGTTGTCTTAGCATCGTAGAAAGGAACGTGAAGTGACTTGTATGCGCGAAGACATGAACGACATGTACTCGAATTACTCCTTCTATAGAAGATGTAGAATTCTGTAGCATGGCGATGTAACGCTGTAACATAATGCAAATTTACAACTGACACAAATAATATTGATACATAATTCTCAATGTACTCTTGTTTATATAGGCTGTGGAGATGCAGGGCTACGTTGTCATACTGTCCCTTACTTGTTCAATATTACGTTTATTATATAATCAGTTCCAGAAAATGGTAAATATGCTACGGAATGAGTACGTAGTTTATTCACAACATGGCATAACTAAGAGCGGCACAACCATTTCCATATTCATGATATTTTACTGTCTCTTTTTACACTGTCTCTTTGTACAATTTGAAACGCATTTGGGTTTTGCTAACACGATGTTTTACGTTATGTTATTCTAAAGGAAAGTAAACATTCCCTTGTTTGTTCTGAAGTGAGAATATTTGACACAAGCCTCAGATGAAAAAAATGAATTTTTGTAGGTGAGGATTTCTTTGATCGTTTGTTAGCATATGCTGACGATGTTTGTTTGATTCAACATGCAGTGCTTCTTACAGAAGAAAAGCTGTTCTGAGTTTTTTTATAACATGGGCGTAAAATGTGAAAGTGAATGTTGATAAAACCGACACTTTACTTTTAAAAATTGGTGGTATTGTTAAAGAATTAGAAGGACGGTAGTATAGTTATTTTCCTACCCACTTCCAAAGATATCCATATAACTGTCACCTTGTGTTGTTGCCTTCTTTCAGAATGTGTTGGTCCACGAGAAATATCTCACAGTGACCACGGCATGTTTTGCTGTGAAGAAACTACAATATAAATAAAGAGTTGTTTCTGTGTCAGTTTCATTACATATATCTTATCGAAAGAAACGTATGAAACGTCGAATAAAGGTGATATCAATGCCAACTAATGTTCTAAACAATGCTACATGTGGCCAGACATTTTGTGTCCATCGAAGCACGATCCCACCTCTATGGAGACGTCAACCTACACAACATAATGGGACCTTGTGAGATTGCCTCGGACCGGCCGTCCACGCGTGACGTCACGTCACAACCATATTCGGCTGATCCATCGAAGGAATCGATTCCAGAGTGTCAGTTTCACTGCTCCGACCATTCCTGGCTTACGTCCAATCAGTTCTGTACGGAACTGACTGGAAGCAAAACATCCAGCCCCGACGGTCTGCAATATGTCCAAGTTTGCTCCAACGTCACCGACAGGCGCGTCTTGCCTGGTGCAGACAACATCTACAGTATAGGAGAGAAGATTGGAATAATCTATTGTTCACTGACGAGTTGAGATTTCATCTGGACAGCTCAGATGGCAGGGCAAGGGTATGTACACAGGGCGAGGTAAAAGATACGCTGACGCGTGCGTTGTTCAACGTCGACAGTTTGGTGGCGAAAGACGTTATGGTATGGGGAGTTCATCACATCTCATGGTCGGACACAGCTTGTCATTGTCAGTGGTAATCTGACAGGTCTGCGATACAGGGGTGAGATCATTGGGCCTCATGTGCAGCCGTTCATTCAAGGACAGAGACGTAACTTCACGCTTCAGCAAGGTAATGCCCGTCCACGTGCCGTTCGTGTTGTGAAAGATTTCTTGAGACAGCAGAACATTCCGGTACTCCCCTGGAACAGCTGTTTCTCCGCAAGTGTCCACTATCAGGCACGCTTGCTGTGAAATGGATCGACGGTTACATCAAGCCCAAAATCAGCCTTTGAGGTGGGATGAATTAGGCCAAGCGTTGGTTCAGACATGGAACAACATTCTCCAAGTTTTCTTCTCTTAGTGTCGTCTATGCGTCGTAGTTGTCAAGCCGGCATCAACGCCAATGGTGAACACACACGATACTGAATTTGTGAACTGACTTTTGACACCACGCCTCTTCAAGGGCGTTTCACGATGCCTCGTGTCAAATCATACAGATTTCAGTATTATCATGTTAACAGTTAAACAGTGATTAAGGAAAACATCACGGATAATGTTATTATCCTTTTGCATTAGATAATTGCATAACATCAAGTATCAACATGAATAAACTTTTATGTAGTATTTATGAGAATGTAAAAGTGTGAGAACGTAACATTAATAATATTTCAAAAAACTTTTATCAGCCAGTTAGGAGTTAGACTAGGTACATTTTAAGTCCATTTCTATTTACCTTTTATCAGTAATGAATTAGCTATTCAAATTAATGAGAACTGCAATCCTGGTATCCAGCTTCACCCGGATATAACCCAGCTATTCTTACGGTTGTTTGCAGATGATATTATTCTGTTTTCATCCACAGTCAAAGGTTTAGCGAGACAAATCAATGAACGTGAAACTTACTGTGATGATTGGAAATTAACGGTTAACAGACATATAAGAAAAGTTCTTTTACTTAAGAATGAAGGGCGGTTATCACAAATGGGCTTCACAAATTGTACCCATGGGCGCCGTTCCTCAAAGCTTCGTAGCGCTACGACAGTCGTAAGTCTATGTTAAAGTATCGGGTTATACTGTCCGCCCCAGATCGCTAAGAAAAGTTCCTTTCCTTTAAAGGAAAATGTTAGAAACTACAGGATTTTATAAATATCTAGGTGCTAACTTCAGTAGAGATCTGTTATGGAAGACACGTTCAAATCAGACAGCAATTCAAGCAAAAATGGCTTTTGTAAGTATTTTCAAACAATTGAGTTTGTCGGGAACTATTTCATACCAATCATTTTTCAAACTATTTGATGTTAAAATACTCCCTATTTTATCATATGGTTCAAGCAAAAAAGGCTTTTGTAAGTATTTTCAAACAATTGAGTTTGTCGGGAACTATTTCATACCAATCATTTTTCAAAATATTTGATGTTAAAATACTCCCTATTTTATCATATGGTTCAGAGGTGTGGGGTTTACAAAAGTTTGATGTTTGAAATTCATTTATATGCCTGTAAAACATTCTTAGGTGTGAAAATAAGTACATCTAGCCTGATGGGTATTGGCGAGTATGGTCGGTTTCCACTTTATCTACACTCAGATATTTGGGTAATCAAATGCTGGTTATGACTCCTTGATATGTCCTCATACTGACTCCCTAAAAATGTTATAATATGATGTTTTTTTATGATAAAATGGTAAGAGAAACTGGGTTACTGGCCATGTAGTTAGAGAGTTACTTTTCAGTAGTGGTTATGGACAAGTTTGGCAAAATCAGAATGTGTATTCAAAATCAAGTTTTGTATTGTCATTAAAACAAAAGCTAAAATATATTTATATACAGATATGGACTGCTTCAATGGCCTTATCAAATATGTGTTTTTATTACAAACTATTCAAATCACAAATAATTCAGGAAGATTACCTTTATAATATTACTGTTAAAGACTTCCGAACAGCTCTTTCACGTTTTAGATGTTCCTCTCATGATATTTTATTGAAACGGGACGTTATATAAACATTAGTCGGGACCCAAAGACTTTGCAATGTTTGTAACTTAAGTTCAGTTGAAGATGAATATCATTTTCTGCTTGTATGTCCTGTTTACCTACAACTTAGAGAAAGATATCTGCAACCCTATTACTTTACAAGGCCAAATTTAACTAAATTTTATTTATTGTTATCAAACACAAATAGGAAAATTCTGCAAGATTAAGCTATGTTCATTTATCATGCCTCCACGTACAGATTTAACATACATGCAAAATGAGAGTCTGCAATTTAGCTGGGTGAGCTTTTACAATTCTATCTATATATTTCTATACTATGTCTGATTGTATATTTTATTTTGTAATGTACTAAAGGCCTGTGGCCTTATTAAGTACTGATATAAAGATCAAACATCAAATAATGCACAGTTAGAGTATTACATAACTACTGGAATAAAGTAACATTTGTTGGACGTCAAACAATAACAGTTTACTTGTGCATTTGGTCATGTTTGGATTTCATCGGAAGATGAAACTGCACTGGAACTTGTGCAAAGAGTAAAAGCTTCCAGTAGGATTGGTATGGAACAGTATCTGAACACATTAGTCATGCATGAAGACATAAATCGCCGCAAGTCAGACTATGACACGTCGTCTGTTAAAAGTAGAATTGCCAAAAACAATACAAATAAGTAGACGGTATGATATGTTTAAAGGTGTGAAGTACCCTGTTATTTGAGGTGCAGGTACTAGAAGACAAATTCACACTTTGATATTATTTAGTATGTCGTGTGTTCAGAAACCCCCTCCCCCTCAAACAACAAAAACGTAACGTAAACGTTACTACATTGAGTGAGTGAGTGAGTGTTTCTGTTTCTCGACACAGCTAAGTTGACATATGATGTTTTTCTTTCTTCAGGTAAAGTCATCAAACCCGACACCCCAAGCACGACTATGCTCCTCAACATTGAGCCATTTTATAAGAATGCAGAGAAGGGACGTAAGTATAGAAGTTTAGCCTGAACATAGGCGTGCTTGTAGATTGTAACGATGCAACTTCTGGGTATTCTTTTAATGTGTCATCTATGATCTTTAGTGATATATTCATATTTTTGCAGGCTGGTAGGGTAGCCTAGTGGTAAATGTATTCGCTGGTCACGGGATTGACCTTTATCACTGCTAAAGGTGACAATACCCCATTCTTACAAATGACACTACGGCACTTTCGAACTGAGATGACGTTGACAGATGACATGTGTTGAACGCATGTTACATGGACATTGATATATTGTATCGCTGCAAAGTTTGTTTGCCTATATTTCACATATGCCCTGACCATGGTGAACAGACACGTGTGTTCGCTGTTATACTTCATGCAGATATTATAAGTTATATGCTTCTCTCAAGGGTAATACGGTCTGATGTACGCCGGTAGGCGAGGGATGACACTGCTACAAACAGGCGTACATCAGACCGTATTACCCGAGGGAGAAGCATACAACGTACATGTATTTATCTTTCCGACATGTTAAATGTACAAAACATCATTTTATTTTATGTTAAAGATCGCGACCGACTGACTATATGACATGTAAACAAAATGGCGTCTGCCTCTCGACTGGATTATTACTATCAGTAAAACATATTCTGACAAGCATTAAACTGCTATAAAAATGGTAAATTATGTTTAAGCTGAGTGTGCAAACCACTCACTGTATAAAATAGCTTAAATAAAGCAGTGAAAGTCGGTAAAATAAATCTGTAAAAAGTGAACACAAAAACTGCTGATCGAACGGTTTTCGAACTCCGGGCACGGCATGGGTCATACGAGTGTTAGCGCTTCAGCTTCTCGGCGGAGAGCTTGGCGGTTACCGTGGCAGCGGGTAATATTTTTTCCAGTTGTCACCCTCCTTATTAAAGCGTCATTGACCAATGGAATTAATGTATTTTACATGAAGGTTTGATAAGTGTTTATCTGTTGCAGCTCACGGGGAGACTCTGTTTTCACGAGGCACTCTTTCAGCCTGGCCCTACATGAGTGATCATCTGGAGTTTGTGGAGGACTGTCTTGTGACATGCGCAGAGGAGGCGCAGTGCATATCCGCTGTTTTCACCAACTCCAAAACACCTCACTGCATCCGCCAGCAAGCAGCTCCTATAGCGTAACAATAGCACCACAACATGCTGACAACTTTTAGACATGTCCTCAAATACTGTTGAAACTTATCCAGATATGAAGTGATACGCCTACAGTAAAAAAAGCAGAGATTTGAATTTAACGCTGTTCTTCAACAATGGGAATTCCTGTGATATCACAGCGTGTCACCTCAATGTTGGAGGAAGTCCAGAAGCGATGAAGACCCTGGAGAGTACATTCAGAGTAACCCATGATTACAACCCTGGAAATATAATGATGGCGAATCGAGATTCGGGATATCCAAGGGTCGGAACACTGAAGGACGAATTACGGCGCCTTGGACGACTGGGCAATCCCGAACCCCTTTGCAAGATCACGCGTCAAACGCACATATGTAGAATGGTTCCATTCTCATAAAATGGAATCATCAACAACTTCGCTGGACATGGGTAATCTATGTTAGTTCATCAACAGTAACTATAGTTTGGCATGAAACGCATGTGGACCCGTTTTTTTGTAAATATCTCTTCATCCAATGACCCAATCGATCTCAAACTGTGCAAGTGGATGTTTTGTCAGACAACCTAATCACATTGTAAATCACCGATATTTTGTATTAAAGAATCTGTCTATGTAACTGTCAACAAAATAAACAGCAGAACGCAGACTGCTTGCAGAGGGAGGGAGTCAATGACCTGTAACAGCGGCAGTGTTGGGTCATAAAGGTCAACGTTCGTCAATGTAGGTCAGCTATGCACGTGACAGGTATAAATAGGTGTTCATTTCTAGCAAATAGCCGGCGAATGACATCTCTGATGACCCTGATGTCCAAACGGTCTATCACTGTGCAGTGCACAGGTAACTATCATGAACTGCACGTGCATTTACCTTTATGACCCAACACTGCCGCTGTTTATTTTGTTGACAGTTACATTGATAGATTCTTTAATACAAATGCATAATATCGGTGATTTACAATGTGATTAGGTTGTCTGACAAAACATCCACTTGCACAGTTTGAGATCGATTGGGTCATTGGATGAAGAGATATTTACAAAAAGCCGGGTCCACATGCATTTCATGCCAAACTATATGTAACGTTGAAACCGAACAGGTATTTTACTGGCGCTTCATTTGATACAGGGATCTCATCTGTACAAACAAAATTTGTTTGTCCAGTACACAACTGCATGCCGACAATGTTCTGTCTCTTTGCACTTTAGTGTCAAAATTGAGGTAATAAATGAGGTAATGGTTTATCATTTTGTTTATGTAGTGAGTGCATTAAATTATATATATAAGTAAATATCATTTCCATCAGAACATGCAAGAACAATTACCGTGAATGTGTAAAAGTAGGCGGTATACGTTTACATCTGTTTCCAAGCTTTTCAATATATTTTGGTCTTACTGAAAAAGTTTTAAATGTTTTATAAATGTCGATTACTGTAAATAAAAAGCTGTAGACTTCGAGGGAGTAAATGGGTCAAAACAATATTACTGAACATATCTGTGTTGACCTACACCGGAACCAGGCCAGCCGTACGTTATAAGATTTACAAACGATCTACAAACAGTATCACACATAGAAATGATGAAACATGCATTTACAGCGTTTTAATAATCATTTACAGTGGTAGATTGTCCGGATAACCAACTTTGTCTATAAACAATTACATACCCACAATCACATGTACGAGGTTTTCGCGAATGGGCCAGATTGTGAGTCCTTACCAACTTACTGTGCTATGTGTGATTTGTGGTGGCTTCGATCTATTTGCTGGCATTGCCTGTTTACTCCTCCCCATTGTTGAGATCAATATCAACAACACTCAATGCTTCAGAGTGACATCACTGTTCAAATGTGTCATCAATAAAAGATCACTAGTTCATTTATAGAATGCCAAGACTCTGTGTTTTATTTTGTAACGCTGTGTAGAATCAAGACAATCAAGACTAGTGATGAGCATCGGCCTTGACCACTGCATCCCGTTAGTGACCCTAAGCACATGTGCACGTGTTAGACTTCCGCTGGAGCTTACTTGCTGTCCTGTTCTTTCGTCACAGTTGCTCCGTTTCAGTCCATAGTATAGACATATAAACAAATTGTTCAATAACATTTGAAAGAGATATCTCACCCGTGAATTTATTCACACTCAAGTCCCAAACATAAACAGTTGTAAACTCGTCGACCATGGCCGCTCTTCACAACCGATGAGAGCACGACCATCACGTTTATGCAGATCAATCCATCAGTCGGATGCTGACAGCAACATGGAACAGATTAAACATCAACAACAACAACAACAACAACAACAACAACAACAACAACAACAACAACAACGCAGTTAAATTCAAAACAACACAACACAAGATCCACAAGGGTGCACATCGTTAGCGAACGTAATATTATGTTGTTATATTGTGGAACGTTACATTATTAAGACACACTGAAATATCATGCATCATAAATGCGGCCAATATAGATTTAGTGCTCATATCCACACGAAGTATGTACCATATAGGATATTGCATTTGTCTTTTTGTACCACTATATATATATATATATATATTATAGGGTATATTTGATATGTGTCAATTTGTTGTGTATACTACTATATAAATATGACTTTTGGCTATGCAATATATATATATAAATATGTATATTTCATTTAGAACACATATATATATATATATATCTATATCTATCTATCTATCTATATATATATACGTGTGTATGTGTGTGTGTGTGTGTGTGTGTTCTAAACGAAATATACATTTGTACATGTGACGACGCCTAAAGTCATACTCTTTCATGGGCAAGCAGTAGTATACACAATGGTGGTACTGCCTAAATACTGCTATAAGCGTTATTTACGGCAAATAATGCCCCCACCAATAGTTGTAAAATACGAAAAACGGCGTCGACCATCGTTCGATGTCCCCTATTTTATATGTATTTTTTCTAATTTTATTTGAGTCTTAAAATCTGTAGGGCACCGGTGAGTTTCGACAACCAAGATAGAGACAAAAACACACATGCAAACATACATACAAAAACGTTTCTGTCTTCTCGTTGACTTTGTCGACCAGTGTGTCGGCCAGTGTGCAGTGCTTCCAGGTCATGTGGACGATCTTCCAGACAAACACGCCGGCTAGGGAAAGGTAGGTCCACTTTTGCCGATTCTAGCATCTGCCCCACCTTCTGAATATCCAGACGAGTCTCTTATTGTTCCTCCTCTACACTTTCTATTTCCTCACGGAGTTCGTCTGTGTCATCGTAGTTGTCCAGCCTAGACAAGATGTCGACCAACCTATTCATAGTTTTTTCCGCACGATCAGACAACATCGTCGCGGTTTGCTCCACACGAGCCAACAACATCGTAGTGTTTTGCTATGCACGAGCCTCTATCTTCCCCAGGCGATCGTGGAAGTCCTGGATGGTCGGATTTGGAGCTATCTCACTGGCGGGCAAGAGGGTTGAAGGTTCTGCGGCAGGCAATACGGTTGTGATGGAGGGAGATGTCGCATTTGTAGCTATCTCGCTAGCGGGCAAGAGGGTAGATGGTTCTGTGGCAGGCTCTAGCCATAGCTTGTAGAGCCTGGTGGACCCAATACCGAAGCGCTTTTTTACCTCGTTTGCCGGGAGCAAATTCGTGAAGGTAGCATATTTCTTCGATCTGGTCCGGAGACAAATCTCTTTTGGTGGCATTGTGTTTTTTCTTGGGTATATATACCCCATACTTCCCATATGTCTATATCCCATCCTATCCTATCCCAATCCTCTCCCATCCTCTCCCATCCTTTCCCAATCTCTCTCCCATTTTTCCTCCCTACATGCTTTACAAACCCAGGAAAATGCTGAACAGAACTAGGAAAATCCCAAAATGTTTAATATGTCCGCCATGCAAAACTTAGCAAAATACAAAGTATACAATACATATTTAACCTGGCTCAATATCTCTAGATCTGACCTACTTTCTATACACAGTGTGGCTGAAAATAGAATGTGCGTGGGCGTTTAAACATTCATTTAGAGACTGGTCTACATTATATTCATACATTATGTGGGCATTGGGACTTATTATTGCTGGGCAAGGCCATGAAATGTGGAAAACGCTGTATGACTGAATATTGTCACATACATGCCCACTGTGCGAGAAGGGGTCATGTCAATTACAATGTAAAGTCTGTGGTATAGGTGTCAAAAGTAAATATTGCTTGTGCCAAGCACACAGGGTTGACAAAGTAAGAATGGAACCTATTAATAAAAGACATGCAGATTTTATTAGTGAATTTAAGACTCAGAAACATTGAAATTTAAAATTTGTTTTGTTTGTTGGACAACACCATGGAAATTCGTACGATGAACAACCAATTAGAGAAACAAAATTCATATGGTATTTAACATGGCTACTGTCAGAGAACTGAAAGCTATTGCGAAAGAGAGAGGACTGACTGGTTATTCTCGCATGACTGAATTGCTGACATTGCTCAATATTAAATATGTCAAACCTTTAACAGTGAAACAGTTGAAAAGCCAAGCTCTAGAACGCGGATTGAAGGGTTATTCTCGTATGAGGAAATCCCAATTGTTGGCGCTGCTGGAAGACACCGAGCCGGTAGAGTTGAGATTCGTGCCCACAGAGCCCGCCATTGCTAAGACTCTGCGAGGCTGGTTGATGACCGTCCAGTCTAATATCGATGTTGATAAGGTCAAACCGCTGATCGCCAGCAAGATCAACGAGGATTTGAAAAGCATCAAATACCAGTTGACCATCAAAATTTCGCTAAACAAACAGGCGGATGGCAGTACTGAGTATATCGAACAAACAGGCGGACAGGCAGGTACCAACCCAACTCGATCGATTTGACCATCGATGCATCCTTGCAAAAAATACAGGAATCGATGGAAAGATGGATGCACCGGGTTTCCGGGTTTGTGGTGGGAAGTATCGACACCATCTATTTGGATATAAAAGGGGGAAAGGGGGATCTTACATTGACTTGCCTCCCTATTTCAAGAGGAAGAAAGCCATCCTCAACATCAAAACTAAACGCAGCAGCTGTTTAAGAATGGTGACGAGAGCACACAAGTTTCCAGGCGATTCTAAAATCGCAAACAGGCCTTCGAGCTATCCACGTGTGCGACCGACCCCTGAACAGTAATTTGGTGAGAGATCACTGTCACTAAACGAGGTGCTTCCCACAATATGTGCAACATGTAGCCTAAAACAAACCCCAATACAATACAATATAAACTGGGTTGTAAGAATTTAGGCGACTACCACGATCTGTACTTGAAAACCGACGTACTGTTGCCCGCCGACATGTTCAAGATGTTCAGAAAAACGTGCTCGAAACAATACAGTCTAGACCCAGTGTAGTATTATTCCAGCCTGGGACTCTCTTGGGATGCATTGTTGAAGAAGACTGGTGTCCAGTTGAAATTGCTGACGGATTACGATATGCACC